TTCATAAATATCACAGCCAAGTCACTTGGCAGATGGCCCTGTCAACTAATCTGCTTGTGTGTATAATAACTACTACAACACAGCCACATAGATTGAGCAGTAGGAAACCCGTCAACCAAGGACTCGCAAGACGTAAAGCATGTCTTACTTTATGCACCAGACAGTCAAACCTTTCAGATGCTTTCAGGGTTTCTGTCTGAGGCGCAGGCGAAACACCAGCCCACGTAAGGAAAAGGCCGAAAAGACCATGGGCGTCGGGACACCAAAGCCCAATAGACTTGCTTTATTTTGTTTCCATCAACTTAAAACTAAACAGTGCTTTTGGGAGCGATGGCCTCCGACCCAATAGCGATGGCCTCCAACCTTTGAATAGCGATTGCCTCCAACCTAATTTTACTTTGTTTATCTTAGTTGTTTGTTGCTTGTATGACACATCTACTGCACTGTGTGCTGAGTCGCTCTCCATCAATACGCTGGCGGCACTTCTGGGGTCTGCTGCTTGGGAGTGTCACAACGGGCACGCAACAGTAAGCAGTCCGGTGAGGCAGAAAGGACCTCGACAAAGAAACATACAGTGGTCTCAGAGTAGATGGCACAGACCTCAAGATGTCCTTTAGATGGGGTCCATATAAACCACCTCTTGGGGTCTGTGCCATCTACTCTCAATCCACTATATATGTACATAAATGGTATACATATATTATATATATATCATTTATGTATGATATATTATTTATATGACATATATCATTGCTAATAATAATATATAATATATCATTTATAATATATATAATATAGAAGAAATCCCTCGTCTAAAACCATAGCCTGGACTTTGAGTACTGACATGAAGTGAAGGGCTTGAAGTCATGCATGAAGGGATTCAGTCAAAGCACTTTTGGATGTCAATCCTGTGCTAGGAAATTGTAATGTGAACACTTACATCATCGGAAATAGACATGTCGAAAGAGACATATCCGATCGGACTGAGAACTTGCCAAATAACACTTTGGCTCAAGTGTGCCTGAAAAGGATTGAGGCTGCGCTTTCACGGTCGCGATCGATCGACCGTTCGCGATTGTGCTGCCCCTATATTGATAGAATCAGGTATACGATCAGCTGTCAATAATATATCATTTATTATAATGTATGTAATATAAGCATAGTCATCATGTTCTGCAACAAAACCAACTAGCAGATCAGATCTAGCAGATACTGTAGAAGGCCCGTGTATTCAAAGCGAGATAATAGTCTTGGCCAGGAGCTTTACAAGTTCCGTGGGGACAAATCAAAGGAGTCCAGTTTTGAGACCCTGCCATATGGACATCAAGTCATTTGATGGGCATTGTAGTTCCACGTGCATGTGCATAGCACCACTCACCAGACTCACCTCATCATTCTAGCCTAAGAGTCTTGCTTCGCAAGATCGCTGCGCTGCATCACGTGCCAAGAGGCATTGAAGATATTGGAAGTCCCTGGATTGGTCAAGCATAGACTTAACCGCAAACTGGACGCCAGTCAGTAAGAGCATCGTTCTTGCACTAAAAATGGGTTGGAGGAAGATGCAGTGATGACATGAAGCCGTCACCTTGCAATAGCCTGGAACTACGAAGTCAAACTTGTATTTTCATCACATGGCCCTTACTGTAGTTGAAACAAGGTGTTTGATCTGTGACATTGTCGTTCAATAGACCAATGATTTAGATCAAATGAGCCTGGAGTACACTTTGATGCTTTCATTGATTCGTGATTCCAGGTTGCCTGAGAACAAGGAGGCTGGTAACCTAGAGTCCCAGTTGTCGGAGAATCCTCTTTATCGCATGCCGGGCTTGTTTGCAACAAAATCGTGACCATGTGAACCGTGAACCTGTCATGTGTGCGTGTGTTTCAAAAAGTCGTTTCTTTGACGATCATTGCGTGATATTGTATATTTATAATCCAGTTTGATGCGTGAGTTGCCAGGGCCAAAGTGAGGTGGGCTTCGTGGGTTTCCTTGCGGCAGTGGGATTTGCCAGAAACGAGTCGTTCAATCACTACTACAATATGCTGAACTCACATTGAGAAACTTGACTTGCAAACTGCTGTGGGCAGCTAGCGGCCAGTCTCATGTATCTCAAGTGCTCATGCCATCTCTTAAGAACTTCTTTGTTGCTGTTCTTTTTACTATTCTGCTTGGGCACTCTTGGGCACTCTGGCAGCCCCACAGGTGACGCTAGACGGTATTTATTCTCGGGCTAGATATGGTGCTTGCGCAGCCAAGACTTGAACATGCAGCAAGACTCAGCGGAATGGCTGTCCGAGAAAACGCGCGAAGCTGCTGCAAACCTTTGACTTTGATTCGATTTGAAGCTTTTGGCATTTGCAGAGAAGGAAACGACCGCCCTATATAGTTGGACTGTCAAGAAAATGTGTGAAGTAGTTGCATCCAAGAAGACAGGTGAGGATTGTCGACGCACCAGGGACTACTGATGGTGTGGCTGCAGAAGTCAGAGTCTCAACTTCTTGGCTCTTGACTTTCCAAATATTGCAGAAGTCCCGATTTGAGGCGCAACATCGTCAAAACCGGGCAGAAGAAAGTCGGCTCAAGGCAGGTGTTTTTGAGTCATCATGACCAATGCCAAGAACCGGAAGGCTGCGCCATGTGGTATTGCCGCCAACTGCATTTTTGCACATGCTTTATGATTCTTAAGGAAAGGAAGGACAGAAAGACAGGACACAAGAGGAATTGCCTAAAAGTCCAAAGAAAAGAGGAGAGAAGGAATAACAAAATGACAGAAAGAACGCTGCTTTGAGCGTGACAATGCATGGTATGTGTTTTTCAGCGCAGGCACGGGGACTGGCCACGGGAAGTGAGTTTAGCTCCACGCAGGCACCGGAGGGATGACATCGGCAACAACCAATGCACGTGTGTTGAATCTTATTTGAAGCAAAGCAAGCCCTTGCTTTTTCTAAATTCAAGATGAAAACATTTCAGAGCTACCCTGCTTTCTTGGCGTTTAAGGTGTTCAGCTGACTTGGAAGTTAATTTTCCATGAGAGAACTTGGAGCATGTGAGCAATCGATGAAGGTGCTTGGATCAACCCGCGCTTGTTGCAAAGTTTGCTGCCTTTGCCTGTGCCAGTCCAGTGAACCGAGCCACACTTCTGCACATGAAGCAGAGAGCCACAGCCTAAGTTTAGCACCTCAAGTACCACATTGGGAGTGGTGTTTCTTTGGGATGTTTGTATCCGTTTGCTGCGGAATTTTCTTCCACCAGTGCTAGCAGCAGTAACAAGATAAAACCAATAACAAGACATCGTGAAGCCGCCAAATACAAGCCAACATGGTCCTCACACAACTACAGTCAGACTTTCAAAGTCCACGCTCACAGTCGCAGCAAAAACACGGTTTCTTCAAAGGCCAACGCCATCCCTCAGTCATAGCAAAGGCCAGTCACAGCAAAGCTCGCCTTGATGTGTAGATTGTTGCAGGAGACTTTTGGTGAAGTGCCCACAAGGTTGATTATGGTCTCGACATCATAAGCACAGTAAAAAAGGTGTTCAAATGCCACCTCCCCTATGAGGACAGTGCTCATTGGTAGCACTTGAAACTCATGCCAAGTCAGACAAGAGCTCCTAAGCCATTTCTGCCTTTCCTTGTTGCAGACAAGTCGATGTCGCTGTAGTGCACTTGCTAAGTTTCAAAGGCAGTGATGACAACTCTGACTTGTACTTTCAGCGGCAAGAGGATGAGGCAGCGCTGTGTCCAAGAAAATGAACCAAGAACATCATGGCACTTGCGCTGTATGTCCGAAATCTTTGTTACATTTACTCAGAATCTTTCGAACGTCCTGCCAGGATTCATCCCAGCCGCTGGAACCGAGCCCATGCTCGGAGGTAGGGCCTGGTTTTCCCATGTTGCAAATAGGAGAGGCTTAAAGTCTTCCCAAAGAGGATGGCTTCGGAACATGTTCTGTCCAAAGACTGGTCGGAAAATGGGTACTTACGACGATGAGACCGCCATAGACGATAGGAGTCATTCGATGATGTATGGAGAATCAGAAGAGACGTTGAGCGGAGAATGAAAGACTAGAGATCAACTTGTGCGTGCAGAAATCCTGTGTGTAACATCATAATACATTAAGGTAGCATCTTGAAGACACTAGAAGTTTGGATTTGGGTCCACCGGTTTGTGCAATGTTATGGCTCAAGCACGAGGATCAAAACCTCCCATATTGTGCACCAGGGAGTTCGCTCCTGGCAGCAAAATCCTCGGTTTCTCTGGCTTGAGCAGGGTTCACCAGACTTATAAAATACTAGGCTGAGACATGACTGTCCGGATGACGGTCGACTACCCAAAACAAGGTGCATCATCCAAGCACTATATATATAGTGGGGAGAACGCGATTTGTAGAGCTTTGCCAGTCTTGAGTCTATTTGTCGCGCCTTACAAGAAAGCGTCTTTGATATCTCAAACAATCGGGATTCGTCGGATAGAGCATGAGGCTATGGGAGCCAAATGCTGTGCTGGCGAGGAGGCTCAGGAGCATTCCATGGTTGAATATGGACAAAGAAACTGAGCTACAAAGGCAAGCGCTGTACTTCCAAAGTTGATTGATGGGCTGCAGCCAACATGATTTCAGAATATCCCAGAGTTTTCCATGTCTCCATCAGGACTCACCTGATGGAAGCGTCACCGAATCAAGGCCCAAGCATTCCCCTGAGATCAGTTGCATGGTTTGGAAGACAGTGAACTAGCAAAATAGAGTGCCCTGCATTTCGGGATGTACAACAAAGTGTAAAGGACAAAATGACAGTTGGACAAGATACCGCAGTCAGGCCACGAGCTTTCCAAGAAGAAATCATTCAGCAACAGGCCGGCAAGGCATTCACAGCACCTGTGCAGGTCGACAGGGAAAAGACAGCGTTGTAAAGATGACATATGTTGGAACATGCTTTGCGCGAGATTTTCTGCACGTTGCAATTCTTTGGTTGGCCGCTTGTTTCTTTTGCTTTAGCACATTGTCCTGGGGCGAAGAAAGTTTCCGGCTTGTCCAGGATGATGCGAAGGAGGCCTTCCTGTGATTGGACAAGACGCAAGACGCATTCAAAGAAACATCAAGAAACACAACATACGATTCGCACCGAGTTGGTGCTGTTGAGGGCGGAAGGCAAACTTGAAGGGCTGGTAGTTTTGATGTCGGAGTCAACCCCAATTCGAGCCAAGCCCCTCAGCAGATGCCTGGTCAATTTGCAGAACTTGTAAACGTGCACATCATTTGCGTTCTAGAAGAATGCATGACAATGCATTCGATTCAATCCTACGTTCCTTCAGATCCGGAGTTGAAGATGTTTGCCTTCTTTCAGCGACCTCTTACGCATTGTTTAGAAGCTGGTGTGCAAGCCAAGCATGTGAGTTCCTTGCACAGAGGTTCATGTCACTCTGTTGTTGCTGTGACTGTTGACTGGTCTAGAGAAGTTGGCCCGCCCGGCTGGCCCTGCACTTTACCGAGGTGAGCAAGTGGGAACTGTCGCGCCTTGTAGGATCGCTTTGGATTTCTGAGCTTTCTGACCTGCTTCCTCCCGACTACCTTTGAAGGCACTGGCTCAAGTGTTGCCCCAAACCTCATTCTCCTGGACTCTCCTTACACTGGCCATTGCCCTTGAAACCAATGAAGAATCTGAATGTGACGTTGCCATTGATCCCAGAGAATTACGAGGACCTCTGTGCAATGGTTGGAATGCCGAAAAGTGAAGCTGGTAACTAGACGCAGGGCATGACGCCTGAGATTGTTTGACCATCCAATCTGATCCATTGTTCTTTTAGGGTTGTTTCATGTTGTTTCTTTAGACCAGATTTGGACATGTCTTTCTTTGAGAAAATAATTCTCTGGTGACCTCACAGATCGCTCAAGATCAGCACGGTTTATTGGTGATGGCCCAGATTCCGATGACCTGGGGGCACTTTTTGCATTTGCTTGGCACGATGATGCACGATGGTTGCGGTCAAACATGAGAGGCAACCACGAACCTGGTTGCAGTCTCAAACTTGTCGACCCACAAGGATCAATATGCCTTTATCGATCTGTGGTGGCTTGTCCTTTGCTGAAGCTTTGCCTTCGTCCCAACCGAGCCTTGCAAAAGCAAATGCAAATATATAAATGAAGAAAGTAGAGGAATGAAAAACGGATATATCAAAAGACACGGAAAGTAAGTGGTCTTCAAACGCTTCAGAACCCACTCAAGATGGTCACACGGCCATGCACATATCCCGCTTTCTCCAGCATTCTCTATTAGTCTATTAGCCTTTAGCAAATTCTTTGCTCCCTAAAAACATGTCACATTCCAGCAGTGCATCGAGTTGTTCATCCGTGCAGCTTGTAGCACTGTTTGGCAAAATCCGGTGAGCGCCAGGGCTTGTCCATTCCAGCTATCTCACGGAAAGGGTGGCTCAGCAAACATCAGCAAACATCAAACCAGATCCGCATTTAACATCCCAATCACCAGCAATACATCCTCTTTTGCCAAGGGAGCCAATAGAGTTCGAGATCAAGTTGACCAAGGCGGCACGACTCCGGTGCAAACCCGGTGCTTTCTTTTGTCTGGCAAAAAGTTTGGATAGAATCAGAAATCATTAGAACATTCTTAGAAATCCAAACTCTTGGGGGTTGTTTCAATCCACCTCTTGGACACATTTAGACAAGTCGCAGCATTGCCAGTTGGGCAACCTTTTTCTGACAATGCCTTTGCAGACTTATGGCAAGTCGAGATTGGGCGTTGACGTAGACCTCACCGACGGCTTTGGCTTAGTCGTTGACCAGGCAGGTGCAGAAACAAACATTACTGTACTGGGGGACTTTGGTTGAGAATTGGGAAAGAGAGACCTTTGTGCCAAACGCACACACCCTACGACCTTTTTCAACTCCACAACCATGCAAAGCGCTGAGGTTACCGAAGGGCTTATCCGAGACTGGAACCAGGTGCCTTGGTCGGGGGAGCTTTTGGCACCACTTTTGTCACTTGGTTGCTGTTACTTGCCCGTGCATTGCATCAAATGACTCAAAAGATTGAATTTGGTGTGTTTGTGTTTCAACCAAAGTTTGACTTAAGTGTTGCCATGCTTCAAACTCTGAACACTGGTGGGGCAGGTGCATCCAGAGCAGGCTGTGATCAAGGGAGACAGGTCTGCTTGCAGAGTGTTCATTAGAAAACATGGGAGAAGACTGGAATATATCTAAGTTGCATACAATATCAACGAAGAGCTCAGATAATGAAATGATTGCTTTGTGAGAGTTGACATGATGTGAGTCCAAACGCTCACAGGATCGTTGCTGTCAATGGTGTTCGAGGAAACTCAAACGAGATCACCGAGGCTGCCACACCCCACAGCACTGCTCAAACACGTGTAGTCAAATGTCTTCCAAACCGTTCAGTGTTAAAATTCAGACCCTACTTTCATGTACTGCCTGTGCAAAGAGACAAAGAGATGCTTGAGATTTCTGGTCAAGAGCATGTATTGCCATGCATGTTTATGTCATAGGTTTGCAAAAGTCAAGCTGTCTTGGAGCTTGTCATTCAAAGAAGCTGACGGAGTTCCATGTTTGCTTCTTGGCAGGGGCCGTGTTGCATGACAGCTGTGGCAAAGAGTATGTTGAACAATGCGAAGTAAGTAGGAGTTGCTCAAATCACTCAAGTCAAACCACCAAGGAAGAAAGAAGACACGAAGGACGTGGCAATGTGAGTGTTGCTAGAACATTTGGCACATCTTGGCAGCTGAAAAGTGTAGTCAATGTGATCAGCGTTAAAAGACGCTGAAATCGCTCCAGAGTGTGCTGAAGGAAAGGGTTCTTGCACATTCAATTCAGTACCATTGATTCTACTCAAACTTCTGTGACAAGCACAATTGGAGCTATTGCGACGCAACCTGCCCATGTTTGGGATTAGCTGTGTTTTGTGAGTCACGCCTAAAACGGTGTGTGGCCACTTTTGGTTTCATCCACGAGGAAGCCCAGGAAAGAGCTGGTTTCAAAACAGCCCCCAAGAACTGCATGCTTATAACCACCACGAAGACACATGCAGTTGTTTTTGGACGTATTAAACCGATGGTTCTTGAATTGAGTTGGTAGAGTGAGCTTGGAACAGATGGTGAGGTGAGCTGCTTTGCACAGTTCAGTAAGGTGGCACTGCATTGTACCAAAATTTTGGATGTGGTGACTTTAATGGCATTGCAGATATCAGGAGATGGGTGAGTGCTTGCGATGACTTAAATGGTAGCCAGGGAGCCAAAGCTGATAGCCAAAGAACTAACTTCCTTCTGGGCATCAAGGACGTTACCCTCTGTATGTGGCCGATTTGGCTAGAACGGGGGAGCGTGCTCTTGAGCTGCACAAATGCTGGGCAGGCACCGACTTTGTGCTCATAGAACATGTTGCCAGTTGTTATTTTTATTTTTCCAAAAAGGACATTATGTTTATATAGTTAATTATTCTCTTGATTGCATGCATTTCAAAAGCATTCATCTAGTGCCTGCTGCTAGTTCTGCCAAATTATACACTTTTTCTTGCCAGCCCTCTTTAGTATACAGTTCTGTTAAAGGACACATGATAATTATGCCAATGTGGTGCCAACAACCAAAGAGTCTTGCCCAGCATCCGTATGTCAAGGTCAAGATGTACGGCTTATCATTGGGGGAAACCGATGATGAGGAGGCAGATCACACAGCAAGCAAAAGCGGAATAGAAAGATTGAAAGCAGGTGAACATCCTCAGACTCAGGCGACTAGTAGAATCTCCATCACTGTGAATTTCATATGCCACTTGGAAGCTTGCAGCAATCGATGATTCGATCAGTCCAGGACTTCTCCGCTGACAGTGGATGGATTCCATGGCACGCGGCTCGAATATTTGAGCACAATTCAGACCTTAACAAAGCGACCTGCTAAGGTTTTGTGCACTAAAAGGGCACGAGCTTTTTGCAGAGGTGGAAGAGGAATACGCAGCAAGCCGAGAGAGTCTTCTTGCAAAGTTTCACCTGTGCAGGATCAGTGGTCGTATAACAACCATGACCACACTTCAAGAATGCCACAGGTTCGGGACAACTTCAACCTGTACGGCTTAAGGCAGCATGAACCTCAGCATCCAGCAGCAAATACTTCAAGATCCCAAGGGAAACAAAGATGCATTGCAAAGGCGATTCCAGTTCTACGAGCACGCGCTTGAGATGATTTTGTCCTCCGAGGATGGTGATGGTTGCACTTCTCACACGATGTTGTTCTTGCACCTATATAGCTGAATCTACTGCTGGAATAGGGTGTTAGACTCGGTGGTAGCTTGCGTCAGTTGGGGCACACCATTTTGATGAAATAGGACTTGCTGACACACGACGTGCGGCGAACATTGCATGGAGATGTGTGTGTGTGTCAAAAGAAACTTAAGTTTCCCTAAACATCTAGGAATTAAGGAACCAAATGAATAGTGCACGCGCTTCTTCAAGGAAGCTCCCTCCGCCCTCAGGCCGAGGGAGCTTCCTTGAGAAAGCGTGAGCTATCCTGCGTCCGTGCTACTAGCGTACTAGTAACTTAATTAAGTAGGGAGGGGGAGCGAGCTTTTAAAAAGAATCTTCCATTTCTATTTTGCACAACCCCACAGGCACCGGAGGATGATGATCTCGCGGACTCCGAGTTCCTGGAGATCTACAGGTCCTGTTGTCAACCCTGTAGGATCCCGTGGGTATAGCAGATGCTGGTTGCATGTTGTTGCATTTTGTTGCACTAGGCTTGCATTTCCAAAACGCCTAGTTTTGAACTGTGAGATGTGTGTCACTTGCTCCTCCTTTGTTTTTTGCCTGACATACACGGAGTATATGTGAATGCTCAATGGCAAGTTGCTAGCGTTCCAACAATTTCGCTTTCAGGGATGCCAGTGACCTCTATGGCCACAGCCTCAAGGTGAGTGAGCGTCACATGGCCGTTTGCTTTGCACTGCGCGATGTGTGGGACATTTGGACACAAAGCCTGCGCTACGCTTTCAGAGCTGGCCTATTTAGATATTGTTGTATGCCTATTTAGATACTCGTATTGTTTTTTCTTTGTGTTTGATGTGTCCCTTCTTCCTGATTCTCATGCAGTGGTGTCCAATCTAAGGTTTGATCCATGCCCGGTACATCGTTTCTCCACGGGGTCTTCAGGCTTCCAAATGTTTCTTATGAACACCAGAGATCGCGCGAACAATTGGCACCGTGGAGCAGCATGCGAGACAGACATAGCAACACAGATGCACCGAGAAGTACCTCCAACACCCCCCAGGCCATGCGTGAGAAGTACCTCAAAGGGGTCTTCGGAACCTGCCCAAGAGTGCTTTGTGACCGCCCGTGGCTCAAGTGAATCTGAAAGAGACCCACAAGAGACCCACAGAAACATCTGAATTGTTTAAAAGAAAACGAAGCTGTAGGATGGAGGCCATCGCTAGGACAACACTCTGTGTTGTCCACTCCTTGCTTGCTGAGGACAACACACACTGCCCATGGGTCTCTCCGAGGAACTCCGTGCAGCACAGGTCAAGATCTTTTGTCCCAAATGTGAACAGGTGGGACCCGGTGGGACTTGCTCGGTTTGAAGATTCAAAGCAGCCTCTAATAAACATATGAATGGACGTATCACCAAAGCTAGCATGCTAGCTGAGTTCTTCTTCGCTTTAGCAATTTTGTATTGGGATGACAGCTTCGTGCCTTAAAGCCTGATCTTTCATGCTTAGGCGGGGGCCTGGCCCCCCTTGCTGTGATATATACCCTTCTCCCAGCTGCGCCTTTTGAGGGGATCTACGTCATGTTCTTTCTGAACATACAAATGTGTCCCGTAAAATGGATCGCCGGATTCTGCTGTTTTGCTTGCCGACTTTAGTATGACCCCGTGCTTTCTGTTTGACATTAGGCGCGGAGCCATGGCTTTGCGCGGTCGCGGTGTTGCGGGCTTTGGGACCACTGTGTCGGTGTGAGCGGGAATTTGTGAAGTCCGGGTTGTTTGTGTTTGCCGAGGTTGGCTTCCCGAGGGTCTACTGTTGAAGCAGGCATGACGCATCATCGCCTGAAGGAGGCCTCGGTCTTGAGGCAGAGCGAGATGAAGCTCCTCGCGCGGGTTTTCATTCATTGGGTGAAGGACAAACCTGTGAGGTCACCACGGTAGGCCGGTACATGTCTGAAAACTTTTCAAGTCCTTGGAGAGCTTTGCCTCACAGGACGTCTGGGACTTCAAACTTCAAGCAAGAGTTTGGCTGGTCAGCAGGCTGAAGGAGGTTTGGTGTGTCGACAGGAAGCCAGTGCTCCAGGATACCGCCGTGATTCAAGACAGGATGAACCGTCAGTTGCGCGATAAGAACAAGAAGAAGGGACACCAGGCCTTGATGACCACGGTCAATGAGGAGGATGAGGAAGAAGAAGACTGCGTGGATCCAGAGGGAGACAAGGACGGTCGCGGATGAGGCAACCCATGAAACTTGCGCAGGCTGCGGCAGGCCAAGGCCAGAAGCTATCGTTCTGCATGCCGGCGCAAGGGCCGTGGGGCAGTTGGGTGGGAGACCATGTGTCTCGGACAGCGCCGGCAAGGGGCTGGGCGCTCCGACTTTGGCGCCACGGCAAGACAGAATGGCGGGGTCAACCCGGGCAAATGACATCCTTGAGGACAATTCTGGCACTAGGCCTCCTGGGGGTAATTGCGACATGGAGAACGAGGAGTCACCGGTCTTGGAGATCGGCGGCAACAACGCGCGCGGGCAGCCGGCAAGTCGCACTCTCGCCTGCATTTCGCGCACTCGACACGCACGATCTCCGCAGAGGGTTGCATTTTCGGTTGACGCTGTTCGTCCCACCCTCCGCCTTTAAGAGAGAATTTATAAAGTGGGGAAATGTTTTTCACTAGGACATCTCCCGTGCTAGTTTTCCACGCTCACACTTGCATACTCATTGCATGCTTGCATGCTCATTGCATGCTTGCATACTCATCATTACACTTGCATACTTTGACACTTGCATACTTTGCACTTGGATGCTTTCGCTCTTCCACTTACACTGGGGTACGTATAGCGTTCATGTTGTAGTGCAAGCGTTGTAGTGCAAGTGTGGAAATGTCAGTGTGTAAGTGTAAGTGTCGAAGTGTCAGTGTTCAAGGGATTTTCCGGAAGAACCCTTCGCAATGCTTTCGGGAAAAACCAATGAGAGGCGTGAAAGGAATCAAACTCACCGGATTTCTGGAAAATTTGTAGCTGCGCAAGAATTACCATCGTAAATGTTACCCTGTTACCATGGAAAAACAAAGCTCGAAGCAGGTCATATGTATATTATATTAGTCTAATGCGCTAGGCACTATGAATTATATCGTCGTGTTCAAGTGTTTGCTGAACGTTTGCTTTGTACTTGGTGCTTTGCAGCCGCATTTGTGGGGCTTGAGTTGCGCAGGTCTACACGGCTAAAAGCAAGTACAGAGAACTGGATGGAGCGTTTTTTGGCATGTTCTGCCGGCATGTTTGGATTCCAAGTGGATCTTCATGGCGCGAAGTGTCGGAACACTTGGAGAGGCAGTTGTAAATTTGCAGTCTCTGCAAGACACAGGTCTTTTCCACAGATCTTTCTGCAGACTTATCCCACCCTGACGCCTTTAGAGTTGCCGAGGCGAGGTCTATTTCTGGGGGAGAATCAGTTTTTGGTGCAAACCATCTTTCTGACATCTATATCAACTTGTCTCCAGCGCACATACCTGCATTTGTGCAGCATCTGGACACCTCTACACTCTAAACCTCCGCGTCGCAATCTTGGCGAGTGCCTCTGGCAGGCCTTTTGTTCCTCGGGTCTTTGGTTTGAATCTCAACTCTTCGAGTCGCATTGCGATTTGCTAGCTCAGCTAGCTTTGCGGGCACTTTTGAGGAATCCTTATTGTAATCAACAGCTTCATACAATTCCGTTCGAGTTTCAGGGTACTCACCGGGCCCCGGTACTAGTAACGTGTAAGACCTTAGGGACTCATAAAGGGTTCACAAGTTTGAGGAACTCCACCCTCAGCTTTCCGTTGCATGATGTGTAGTGTTGAATTGCCCGTGGGCCCTTGACAATGTATATATGTATATATGTAGCTACCTTGCAATGGGCCTTTGTATGCAGCACAGGGTCTACAGCCTACAGCGCAACTTATCAGACGGGACGATTAGCAGGGAAGAGGTAGGAGCAGGGAAGAGG